TATTATAATGCGGATAAAATTTCTAATTTAGATGATGCGAAGGAAGAGGAAGAAGAAGCATTAAAGTTGCAGAAGAAAAGAATTAGTCAAATGACTGAAGATGATTTCTTGGAATTAGATGGCGAATCATTGGAGTCCAGTATGGTATTTATTCATTATAATTTAATTGACCTTATTCCACACATACAACAATACAAATATAATTTCTTCTTAGATTGACAGAAAACAAATTGAATATACAGATAATGATTTCGACTTAATATCATTTGATAGGTAAGTCTTCAAAAAACGTGATTTAATAATTGATTTTATTGTCTTTATGAAATTGTAAAATTAAAAAGAATTTAAAGGAAAGTTTTAGACAAAGAACGGCAAAATTTATCACGTGACGATATAATTAAAATAATACAGTCCGAATCACCCGAACTTATTGAGTTATTAAACGAGTTTGAGGAAAAATCCTCTATACTACGGAATACGGTAACACCTTTGTTAGAAAAGTAAGCTATATATATATCCATATTGTTTTGTTTTTTTTTGATTTTTCATTTAAATATTAATAAGCTGTCTAAATTGTTTACTAGGGCTAGACAAAAAAATCTTATACATAATCCGGCCATGAAGTTTATATCAATAAAACATCAAACATTAGTTCACTATTTAATAAATATTTCTTTTTATCTGGCACTTAAATCTTTTGGAACACAACATTTACGCGAACATCCGGTGATAGATGCACTAGTAAAATTGAACAAGACTTTAGGTAAATTAGAGAGATTGGAACGTAAAATTGGGGGATTTCTTGAATCATTTGTTGATAAAGAAGATTGGAGTGATCATGATAATAATATGGCAGATGATAATGATAAGGAAGAAGAACCAATTGATTTCTATAATATGGTGAAAGAAGCTAAAAACGCTGCAAAAGAGCAGCGTAAGGAACAGTTTGAAATGGAACATAGTAAAAATAAGTAAGTTGTATATTGATCATTTTAGTTATATCACATGAATAAGAAGTTAAATTTCCTTTATTTGATAGAGTTGTTTATGAAGATATTATTCCTGAAGGTGCAAAACGCCAAATTAATTATCAGATTCTCAAGAATAAAGGACTCACACCTCATCGTAAAAAAGAGCAGCGAAATCCACGCGTTAAACATAGAAATAAGTATGAGAAAGCAAGGAAGAAAATCAAAAGTATTAAACGTGTAATTTCACAGCAAGAGGGATCTTATGGTGGCGAAAAAACCGGTATCAAGACTGGATTGTCTAGGAGTATTAAGTTTGAATAAGTTTAACTTTTTTAATAATTCAAAATATTTTGATATATCTTAAATTAAGCAATTTGTCTGTTAAAACGATTAAATTAATTAAATTAGTAATAATTCGCCGCAATTTCTTATGACAATGAGAAATATAATAATCTTTTGACGGCGATTTATTGATTAATTAATTTATTAGCTCTTGTGATTAATGTTTTGAGCTGTTAATTAATGTTAAAAATTCTTCTCTAGTTTTTGCTTGATCTCTAAATACACCAAGCATGACACTTGTCGTGGTAGAACTTCCAGGTTTCTGTACTCCACGCATTACCATGCATAGATGACTAATGTTCCAAAAAATTTGATTCAAATTTAATCAATATAATTATTAAAGAAAATATTGTTTTTATTAGATAGTATATACAAAAAAATAAATACATACGTAGCTTCCATCACAACGGCTACACCTTGAGGTTTTAATATTTCTTGTAAAGTGACAGCTATCTGTTTTGTTAAACGTTCTTGAAGTTGAAGCCGTCTTGAAAACATTTCAGCGATTCGGGCAAGTTTTGATAAACCGAGAACACGACGATTTGGAATGTATTAAAATATGCTTCGTACACTGGTGCACAGCCTATTGCCGGTCGATTTACTCCTGGAACTTTTACGAATTACATTACTAGATCTTTCAAAGAGCCTCGATTAATTGTTGTAACTGATCCGAGGACTGACCATCAAGCAATCAAGGAAGCTTCTTATGTTAATATTCCCGTTATTGCATTATCTGATACAGATTCTCCTCTTCGTTTTGTCGATGTTGCGATCCCTACCAACAACAAGGCTAAGCATTCAATTGGTTTAATCTATTGGTTGTTGGCTCGTGAAGTACTTCGTCTTCGCGGCACCATTACAAGAGATGGTCCATGGGATGTAATGGTTGATATGTTCTTCTACCGTGATCCAGAAGAAGCAGAGAAAGAAGCCGAGACTACTACTACACCGGAAAAAATTGTTGCACCATTTGAAACTCCTTGGGAGCAACAAGAAATGCCTAGTGATTGGGATGCGACTGGCACAACAGCACCTGGTGGTGTTAACCCTGTTGTTGCCATGGTTGCTACTGCTAATCCAACAAACGTCGGAGATTCAAATTGGGATACGCAAGAGGTGGAAGGTCCCGGTTGGGGCGACTTTACAGAGCCTGGTCCTGGTTTTACCGAACCTACTGAAACAACGTTCGAAACTACTACTACTTTTGGCGATTCTAGTGGTAATTGGGCGGATGAAACAACTGAAAATGTCAATCCAGGTAGTGGCTGGGATGATTAGGGATGGTAAAGATAGTTTAGGTTTGGTTTAAGTTATAAACCCTTTAGGTTCCAAATTAAAACCTAAGAATCAGGTTTTATGTGATAAGTTCCGAACCTAATTTAAACCTGGTTTGGTTTAGAACCAAAATTTAAAACCTGATTCTCAATATTTTGCAAGATATAAAAAATCAAAAATTATTAATAAAAAGTTACTTAATTCATATCAAACTTTAGAATATATATTTTTGTTTTTTTTTTGAATTAACTTTATTTAATATGCTAACATTGATTTATTTACCTTTAATAAGATAAATGTAGTAATGTGGTGGGGTGGGTAAAGTGGCAGATCGCATGATATCGAAGTTAACACGAGGTTTATCAAATAGAGTCTAATGATTCTTATACCATTTAATTTGTCTCACCAAGATTAATAGAAGGATATAAACAATTCGTTTCTAATTCACTGGATTACTAAATAATCATATCAATGACTTTCCAAATAATAAATTTATTTGATGCTAATAAATGTTATGCAAACACATGATTGCCTTTACCTTATGGAATGATTAATAAAAGATATAGTATATATAATAAAAATTTAAAGCATATCTATTTTTCACGCGACCAATCAATTAGAAAATCTGTATTATATTTTTATTAGTAAATAGTAATAACTATTTTTTGTATAATTTTTTTTCATTTAGGCAGCCTTGCCGGTAACCCTTTATTTAGATTAATTCGTATTTGGTACTAGCAAATTGTTGAGCTAAAGTCATAAGCCCAACATCTCACATTTATTTCTAACAGCACATACAAGTGATCTGTTATATCGGAAGATTAACTATCCGGGAACAAATCTGACTATTGCTCTACAATAGAATACTGCCCATCTTTTCATAGAGAAGTGAAAGAAAAAAAAAATTTAATATTAAAAAGAGGAGCAGAGAAAGCCAAAAGAAAAATAGTAACACTAATACAAAAAAAAATTAAAGAAGAATAGGAAAAAAAAACCAAATGGTCACAATTATAAAGTCTATCAAGTTTTTAAAAATTATATATTATTAAATAAAAATGTTTTTGTATTTAACTTTATTCAAATAATATATGCATTTATAAAAATATAAAAAATCTTATTATAAAAAAATTTCTTTGATTAATTACTAAAAAATTAAACTTGAACTATTAGTTTTAAAGTATTGTTAATATTGTTTAAGCAAGTTTTGGTTATATACTATTTTGTATTGTTTATCTGCTACTATGTTTATAGTATCACTATAAATATTTTATTTTGGTAAATAAACAATATTAACTGTTTTAAAAATTATATATTAATTATTTAAAGTAAGTATCTATTCTTTGATAAAATTTTCTTAATAAAAAGTGGTAGACTAATAAAGTATTTGTAAATTATTCTTTGTAAGGTTTTTTTTATTTTTTCAAGTTAAGACCAGAGAATTGTCTCTGATACTCTTTATTAATTGTATATTAGTTTATTACAACTTATTTATAATTTTTATTCATATCAGAATTCAGACTACTTTATCTGTATCCTATTACCTATTGAAGCAATATATATCTTATTATATATATTTATCCAGATTTTGCTTTCTGATTCACCTTATCTAGCAACTTACATATTTCTCTCTTGTCTTATCTGCTTCATCAACAATTTTCAAATTGGTTCTCAGTAGTTACTATATTTATATAGCTTCCAATTTGATATACTTGTTATCATTTTTGCAATATTCTAGCTACTTACTTTTATAGTAGTATCTTGTAGCTATTTTTGGCTAGACCTATCTTTCTACAACTTATATCTCAAGCCAAGACCCTGCTGTCTAGTTATATTCTCACATAAGGAAGTTAGTATTCTATTAACAATCAAGTTTCTTATTTATTCTTCTAGATATTACTAACTCATATCTTAAGCTAGTGATTCTGCTACTATAGCTAGTTTGTAAACCCCAAGTTTTAATATTATATTTTCTGTATCAGATACTGTTAGCAATCCTGTATATCATACAGGATCACCAATCTACCTCTATATATTTTTAGTTACTATTTAAAGATCTTTGTTTCATAGTAATATATATAGAGAATTGCTATTTCTACTCTCTACTTTTGCTAATACCATCTTCAAAATTTAAAAAGTGCTTCAGAAGTGGTATTATTATTAAGAAAATCTTCTTTATAGTTTTAATAAAGTTGTTTATCAGGCTTTTCTGGTTTTAATAGTAGTAAAATAATTAAAATTGAACTAGTAGTTCCTAAGATATTTATATTTGAAGTTAGTTAACTTTTATTTACATTTAAAAAAAACTTATTAGTTTGATTTTAATAATTTTATAACTATTAGAATCAGAAAGACCTGATAAACAACTTTTATTAAGACCAAAAAGAAGATTTATTTAATAACAATATCTTTTTTGAAGCATCTTTTGATATATGGGGGTAGCAGTAGCAAAAATAAGATAGAAATAACAACTCTCTATATCTAATAATTATTATATATATAATAAAAATTTAAAATTAAGGGTGTGATGACTTAGTGAAGTGGTGAAGTTATTGCATCCCTAAGTAGCATATTCAGAGTTCGAATCCTACTATCAACAAAATTTGAATTTTTTATTGTGGAACGGTTATCATAATGATAAGTTAGATTGCTAATTTGTAACCAAAGTTATACCAAATATTCTATATCTGGAAGAATTATTAGCTAGTAATCCATATAAAGCCAAGGAATTGAAGTTACAGATACCTGCTTGGCAAAATCCAGTAGAGAGATAGTACAAACCTTTGACAGTACTATGTAAAGGGTTATTACTAGAAAAAAACAGAAATTGAACAGGACCAAGGTGTATAGCAAAAACACCTCACCAACTAGACCACTAGGATTAGAGGAAAAAGATCTGCTTAATTGCGCTTACCAGAGGACTTGTAACTTTCAAATGAAAGTCTCTTCTGGGCCATCAGGATTAGTAGTTTGAAATAGCCAGATCAAACTGAAAAAACCAAATAGACGAAGTGTTTGAAGAGGCATTTTCACCAACCAGACTGCCAGAACTGAAAGAAAAGGATCTGCTTAATTTGTGGTTACTAGGGGACTGGTAACTTTTGGTTGAAAGTCCCTTCCAAGCTATCTGAATTAGTAGTTTGAGATTCAGGAGTATTCTTAATAGTCTGTAAAGTGGTACTGAGGTTTGAGTGAACTTTACAAAAGCAGAAGTAGATAATAGCAGCGGCTTCAGCTCGCAAGTCTTGTTCTCGAACTCGGCGTAAGTTACTGAAGTCTAGATTAGCTGGATTGTGGGTATAGAAAACTCTAGCAAGTTTACCTCGAGGATAAATTAGCTCTAGGTCAAAAAGCTTCCTATGGCAGATATTGGTTCCTCATAAAAATATAGTAGCACAGAGGGTTTAAATAGATAATCTCTAGTTGGATTATAGGTATAGCATCTAATGTAGAACCTTTGGGCAGATTACTTAAATAGGCAATTAAAAATTATACATGTGGCTAGTTGTATTCTCCAAAATCATATATCAAATGAGTAGCAGCTAATTTGATTAGCTTAGCATATAAACTAATAAAGACAACTGACTATAAGGTTATTTTAATATTAAATAAAAAATAAATAAATAAAATTAAATAACTTTTGATCTACTGAACCAATCTGGATGATTTAACTACCAAAATAATTCTCTCTTTGAGAGGATCATTTTGGTAGTTAAATCATCCAAATTGGTTTAGTGGTTTAAAAGTTATTCAAGTTTAAACTATTATATATAATAATATTATAATTATATAATTTATTATAATTTTTTTTAAATTAGTTAATCAGAATTGACCTATATAGAGAATACCTCTATAGTAAAATAATATTATGTAATATCTATCATTGCTCTAACCTATATAAATATTTAAATTTTTGTTATCCAAAGATTATTTAAATATATCTATTTAGATATTACTCAGATATGTTTATCTAGATAGCTGAATTTTCAATCTGAATATAGATTATCTGCAGATAACTCAAGTAATATTCAACCCAGATATCATCACTATCTGATTTATCTTGTATATAGCAGGTAAAATATACCACACTATAGCAGTGTTGTACATTTTTGATATCTAAGCTTTTTGGAGTATCTAGTAGACTGTTTGACTTTTTATTAGACTTATAAATTTACTCTAAAAATATATACAAATATGCAAAAAATAATTCTAAACAACTTTAATTAATAACTAAAGATGGATCACAATATATTATTTAAGTTATTTAGTATTAAACTCTAACAAACTTTGTTTAAGTGCTGTTCAAGTTATCTAAATGACAACACTGACTATAGTATAAGCTTGTACTAAAAATAAAATATGAAGAAGTATATATATAGATGAAAGTAGAATATATATAGGCTTATATATACTACTTAAAAAAAAGTATTTTTTCATTATTACTTGTAGTATAGCAAGTAGAATATACTACATCATAGTATATACTCATATTTGCTATATTAAAAAAAGAAATTTCATTAGTTGTTATAAATAAATATAACTTGTTATAATATATATATATATAGTTTACTTTGAATATAAAAATCTTTATATAATCAATTCTAGATATAACAAATCCAAAATTTAAAATTTTATAGTAGTTCAGTATAGAAAATATTATAAGCTTTTAAAAAATATAGTATATGCATAGCAAGTAAAATACACTATACTACAGTATAATATAAGCTTATACTTGCTGCTTAAAAAAAAAAAGAATTTTGAATCTGGTAAATATAAGCAAAGAAATAGATTGAAAATGAATATATCAAACTAAATAAGAGAGTAAAACAAGAAGAAAAGAAACAAAAATAGCAAAAGGAGAAGCTAAAGAAACAGAAAAAGCTAAAGAAATCAACAAAGAAAAAGAAGCAGAAGAAGCTAAAGAAATCAACAAAAAAAAAGCAGAAAAAGCTAAAGAAGCTTAAGAAACTAAAGAAGCTGATGAATCTGATAAACAGAACAAGCAAAAGAAGTCAATAAAGCAAAAGAAGCAAAAGAAATTGATAAAGCTAACAAAGCAAAAAAAGGTAGAGAAACAAAAGAAGCAGAAAGAAGCAGTAAATATAGAAAAAGCAAAAAAATAGAAGAAATAATAAGAGCAAAATAAATAAAAAATATATATAAAGTCTTTTATTAGATTTAAAAATATACCATCATATATTATATATATACTTGAATTTTAATTCTCTTTTGTCTTTGTTATATAATCAGTATATGATATCTGATTAAATTGTAGTTGTCTTTATATTTAAAAATATATATATCAGTACTAAGAAATATAGTATAGCATCACTTTCATATTATATCTTTATTAATAAAGTTGATTTGAGTAAGAATAATAAAAAACTTTGTTCAATAGTGATACTAACAATACTTATAACAAAACTCAATAAAATATAAATAATTTATATTTCATTTGACTATATTTTATATAAGAAACATAATTATAATATTTGCAAATTCTCTAAATATTTATAAATTCTCTATAAAAACTGTAAATTTTCTAATATCTGCAAATTTTCTATAAAAACTATAAATTTCTAAATATAGTTTATTCTGTCAAAACTAGTGTTATAGAACAGTTTATTATTTTATTAGTTATTATTCCGATATTGTATTTTATTATTTATTTTATTATTATTAATTAGTCTTATTTAGTTATTATTATTAGAGTA